AACCACTGTAAAACTTTTTTAGAATAATGAGAAATAGCAAAATCTGGCAAAAAGAGATATCAGTATTTTTTTTTTTCATAAATAGCAAAAGCCTTTTTTAAAGGCATTATTTTATGTAGAGATCGGCAGTCAAGGTCTTCTTAGTAACAAAACATAAGGACTGCATACGACAGCTACGAATTGCTTGGCGCACAAGAAACTTAGATGCAAATTTTTCTCATCAAATATGTTTAAATTGATCTGTTTAAAATCATCAAAAGGTTTATCTTTGTTTTTATAGTAAAATTGTTAACCATGAAGTTGTGAATAATTCGCCTTGCTATATGTTTCGTCATTTTCTATTATGCGCATACTATTATCCGCCATTATTTTAACCAACTTCTTTGCGCGTTGAATTCCTTTAATTTCACCATTTAAGCTTCTTTTAGGTGTATTTTTCTAATAAAATGATTTAATACAAGCATTTTTGGGGCTGTCCATTAATTTTGTCAACAAAATAGGGAGGGGGGGAGGTTCTGGAAATTTTTGACATTTTTTGAAAAGGTGGAGGGGGAAGTCAAGAAGTGTTGACGTCAACAACCTTTTTTTATAAATATATTTAGCTACTTAAAATAAGGAAAATTAGGCAGTGTTTGTAGTCTTGTGTTAACTACACTACGACTTTTTAAAAACCGTACTGCGCTTTAAAAATGCCCCATAAACAGAGAATTAAATAAGCACGGACGTTGTTTATTCGTAATGCTATTATTTTTTCAAAGATTTTGTTTGTTGGTCTGCAGTGAAAACAAATAAAGATTTATGTAAACACATAGTCTATATTATATTATAATAATATTAAAAATACCAGGGGTCGCTAACCTGCTACTAACAAGCCAAATTTGGCTAGCCAAATTGAATAAGACTGCTTATTCAATTTTAAGATGCGGCACAAATATGATTATAAGTTTCCATCTTAAAAGATTGCCGACCCCTGGTTTATACAAATTTTTAAATGTTAGAAATAAATTAAAAATATAAACTTGTAAAAGAAGATCTTAAAGATCTCGTCAAAAATTATAACAAATACGATTTCTTTGTCAGAATAACAATTTCTGAAAACATCAAACGTAACGTTCGGAAAGTTTCAAAGCCCACTTATGGTTCCTAACCTTAAATACAATGTTTTCCTTAAATCAGAACTCCTCCAACTTGTGTATTTATTGGTCTTTACGACTAAAAATTTTTAAAACCTAGAAGATGGAAAACCTAATAATTTGAAAGCTTAAAAGAAATCCAAGTTTCAATTAAATAAATTATATTAAAAAGATTTTTAAATTTCTTTTAAAAAGGTTTTTTTTTTCGATAAAAACATCAAGTTTTTATTAACAGTAAACATGTTAGTTTTTCAAAACCGTAATTAGGACTTTTTAATGAGGAAACTAAAAATAAAATAAAGTTTTGATATAAGTAAAGAAAAACAACTTCAAACCAATTAAATTATTAAAATTTAGCATATCAACTAAAAAACTATCATGTTTACGAATAATGTTAATAGAAAATTGGGAAAAAAATTTTCTTTGTAAACTGAAAGTTGTACCTGAAAAAAAATAAAAACTACCCATTTCATTTATATGGGTAGTTTTTATTTCATTTTTCATATACAACTTTTATATAAAATTTGTTTTCTTTCAAGGGTACCTGCCCATTTGTTTGACGGGTACCCGGGCAAGCATTTTTACGAATTTCAACAGACTGATCTAGGACTTGTTTGATAACTTGTTAATACATAATAAGATGTATAATAATTAAATGTTTTTAAATAAGTCTTGGCCTAATTGTTTGTTTTTAGGTTTACAATGGATAAACCAAACTTTCACAAGTTGTTATTTGAAGCATATATAAAGGCATTTCCCAACAAGCGTAAGCAAGACTGTCAAAGAGTCTCTGAAATTTGGAATAAATTAAAAAAAGAAGACAATTTTCCAAAAAAAAATAGATTTGTTGTTAAATAGTTATTCCGCCTTAGCACAAAAAAATAAGGCAACATTATTGACGTTCTGGGCAGGTCACTCCA